CTAAGCCCCCTTGTCCTTAAAACCCAGTGACGCCCCTGACGTGTCCTCTATCGGCTTTTCTAAAACAAGGCTTCAGAGACAGGCATCCTCCTCTGACCGTTCCCGCATCCAGGTCGCCGCCCCCCACTTCTTCCGAACACCTCCCACTCTCACTTCCCCCAGTGACGTCCCAGCCAACCGGGAGTATTCTCTCCGCTGGAATAAATTAAATCGCGCCGGTGATGGTACAGGAGGGAGAGAGAGAGAGAGCGCGCCCCGAAAGCCATCCATTCACACATTCCGTGCGCCCGGGAGCAGGAGGAGAGTCACGGTCAGCATCGGCTCTCCGCGCGCCCGGAGCGCGACTCTCCTCCAATCAAGATCCGGCTGTGATGGGTGAGAGGACCGCAGCGTGCCCAGCTTCGCGCGCGCGGACTTTTGCTCCCTCGCGGAGTTAAAAAAAAAAAAAAAACAAAAGAAAAGAAACCTTTGCGTTAATCAATCTAACCTGGCAGATTTGAGGCAGCGGGTCGGCTGCGACTCGTTCCGCTGGAGTGGATCTACAGGAGCCTGGCCGCTGCGCCTCATCGGACGTGCTCTGCTGGAAATATACTTAAACTAAAATAAAAATAAAAAGAAGAAGAAAAGGCACAGCTTGCTCTGAGGAGGTCGGGTGTCTTCTGTTTGCTTCAACTTGCTCAGCCTGCTGTGCGTCTGGTAACACTCCCCCCCAAAAAAACCCATCTTTTCCCAATGCGCACCGGTGTGAGCGCACAGACAGCTCCACCGTCCTGTCAGAGGATTTTGCGGAGATTTATTCTGACCAGAACCGGACCGCAAGACTTGCAGAATAAGGTAAACTGCACAGCTATGAATGTGTAATAAAACTATAAAAGATGTTGGTGTTTTAGCCTTTTATAGCCGGTGTCAAAATATATATTCAAAGTAGGATTTKAAATGTGTTTACATGTTAAAAGCTGATAAGAAGTTGGATTTAAAAGTGATTTCTGACCCCTCCATGCTGGACAARTGAATCCTTTTTTTAAGTTAAATCCTCTCGTGCAAAATCTGGATTTTCTTCTGTTAATTTTCTCTTCGTTAATCTCCCCTTCTCTCCCAGCAGGACTCACTGGGATTGCTGGGAGAATGAGGAGTCACCGGGGTCGGGGGAAGCAGCATGAATGGCCCGTGCACATTCATTAGACTGACGGCCCTCATGTTTCTATGGAAGTGGTTGACACTAAGCCTGCTCCAGAGCTGCTTGTCAGAGGTGGCCGGTGCCGCGGACTCCCCCGGGGCCGGCTTCAGCGGCTCCAATGGGCCCCTGAGCTGGCTCCTGTCGGAGAAGGGCCCCTTTCACAGCTCCCAGGAGTTTGTGGATTTCACAGAGCGCTACCAGCAAGGATTCACCACCAAGTACAAGATATACAGGTGAGGCAGGCAGGTGTCGTGGCCGACAAACGCCTAAAAGTGAGCTTGATGTCCAAACTAGAACAAATACACAAAAAGAAAAAGTAAAGCAGTTATGCCTTGCTTTGTGGGAGGACAAAAAGTATAAAAACCCATTTAAGCGACAACACTGTACTTTTCTTTACACTACAAAAGATGCAGATTTAGTAGGTGGCAATGGTGGGATGAAGCACTGAGACGATTACTCAGTGGAGTTTTGCATTCAAATGAAGGCTCAGTGCGCTTTCTGTACAGATCCAAGCTTCTTTTTGTTGCAGAGACTCGCCTCCTTTGTGTGTGCGTTTGTGTGTGTGTGTGTGTGTGTGTGTGGAGCAGAGGCATATGGTTGGAGTATGATCCAAACTCTAAATGGTGCATATCAGTGTAAACTAAAAGTGGAGCGACCACAGGAGGGCTGCAGGAGAAGCGGTGGGATATTACAGATGTCTGACTGAGCCTGTTGATGTGTGATAGTGGTACACAGGGTGGGCTTCAGAAGTGTGCGGCGTGAAGGATGACGTGTGAGTGTTTAGCGGCGGCAGGGGGGTTGTTTGAAAGTTGTTGTTTCTTTTGTGACGTACATCTAATATTTTGTATCTTTYAAAGACAAAAGCAGCACTGAGGAAATGAGAGATGTGCAAACTTCTAAATCATAACGTTATTTAGSTGATGAAGACTTTTGCACAATTTGTATTTAGAATCAACACCACCACAYTCTGTATTTTGGTTTCATCATCAGCCACCAAAATGAACAATAAAAAGGTAACTTGTGAACTGAAATACAGTAAACAAACCTTAAATCTGCTCATCAGATTGAAATAATTGTGATTGTTCTGAGTTAAATGTCTGTGTTTGCATTTTGACTTGTTTCTGGGCAGAAATGCTTCAACTCCACGCTGAAACTGATGAAATCCTTTTCGAGTGGTGGTCAGCACAATGTCTGTGTCAGGCGGCGTGACCTACACAGACTACACGCTGTAGCAGAAAAGACAAAGTCTTATTTTTGCGTGTGTGCGTTTTTATTTTCCTGTGATGGATATGTCATCGTAAATATGCATATTTCGCTGGTAAGTTGCCATAAAAGTGGATTTCCTTCCTCGTGTTTTGACCTCAAGTTATCAAGGTTCACTAGAGGCTAAAAAAAACTCTGCAGAGTGGGGAAAAAAAGGTTTTCATTTAGATTAGCCAAAACCAAACGCCGGTTTTCTGATTATATGGAAGCTGACACGCCGGCTTTAGCTGACAACAAGCTTCTTTTAGTGGCTGCTGTGCAAAGTGTTTGAGCATGGCTGGCTGCGCATGCTTAAGTGTCTGTCGTTCGGGCCGTATGTGCAAGGTAAGTGTTTTGAAAACGTGCGATGAGAGAGATGTTGTCCACCACGGTGAAGGATTGGGGCTGTTGCCAGCTGAACAGAGGGGTGACTGACACTGGCATTTAGCAGCTGACAGGGGTGACAATGCCAGGAAAAGACGGAGAACGTAGCTCTGTTTGCTTCCTGCATCCATCATTTTCCTCTTTTACTCCATCTCTCTCTCGTGACGTCGTCCTCCTTTCTTTCTCAAGTTGGCTTCGTATCTTCTTGCTTCTTGTTTTGCACCGCATCCAAGCCATAGAAATCTGTCAGACATTAGCATACATTAAAATAACACATGCACAGGATTAACACATTTACATAAGTAAAATTCAGACACATTGTCATCCCGAGTAAACACTTAAGTCCTCCACATTAATATGTTGCCTACAGTTTGACTTTTATTGACCTCTGTGAGCAAAACAAAAAAAAATCTGAAAATGCAATCTTTACAAGTCTATAACTGTCTTTTCCCTTTGGGCTGCCCTGGCATTTTCACTTTTCTGTGGAGAATTAGAAATGGTGGCTGACTACAATAAAAATGTGTTGTAAACAGAAGGAAAAGTGAAAAATCATGACGGTAAAGTATAAAACTATAAAATTACAGAGCTGTTGGATGTAGATTTAGTAGGGGGATTGGAATCATTTTACTGGGGCTGGGTGGATCTGTTTTGGGAAGTTGGAAAGTTTGTTCGTTTGTTCGTTCTCTTTTTTTGTTGGTTCGTTCTCTTTTCTTTTGTTCGTTCGTTCGTACTTTCTCTTTTTGTTTGTTCTCTTTTCTTTTGCACGTTCATATGTTCTGTTTTTTCTTTTGTTCATTCGTTCAATTGTTTGTTCTCTTTTTTCGTTCGATTGTTCTCTTTTCTTTTGTTTGTTATGTTCTCATATTCGTTCATACACTCTCTTTTTTCTTTTGTTCRTTCGTTCAATCATTTGTTCACTTTTCTTTTGTTTGTTCGTTTGCTCGTTCGATAGTTTGTTCTCATTTTTGTTCATTAATTCTCTTTTTTGTTCGTTCGTTCTCTTTTTTCTTTTGTTCGTTCGATTTTTTGTTCGTTCGTTTGTTTGTGCTCATATTTTGTTAGTTCGTATGTTCTTTTTTTTGTTCGTTCGATCGATCGTTCGTTCTTTTGTCCTTTTGTTCATTCTCTTTTTTGTTTGTTCGTTCGTTCTCTTTTTCCTTTTGTTCGTTCATTCGTTTGTTCGTTCATTCTCTTTTTTGTTTGTTCATTCACTTTTTTCATTCGTTCGTATGTTCTCTTTTTTCTTTTATTCGTTCGATTGATCGTTTGTCCGTTTGTTCGTTCTCTTTTTTTGTTTGTTCTCTTTTTTCATTCATTCGTTCGTTCTCTTTTTTGTTTGTTCATTCTCTTTTTTATTCCTTCGTTTTCTTTTTTGTTTGTTTTCTTTCATTCGTTTTCTTTTTCCATTCGTTCGTTTGTAGGTTAAGCTCTTTTGATTTTTTCGTATTGATTAGCAACGCGATTGTGCTTTCTGCAGACACGTCCCAGCATTTTAAACCTCCTTTATTCATTCTAAATTCTCRCCAGCTGAAAGCGTGCAGAGGTGCGAATCTGAAATGTTCCAACTCCGAACGGTTTATTTCACAAAGATTTTGTTCTTAAGAACAGAGATTTAACCACTCAGACAGGGGAAAACAGAAATGCATTGATAAGTGCTGATCACCCATCCGACCAAGACTRTATTCAAATTTCACCTCCATTCTAGTCTTTATCTCCCATCGCTCTCGTTCTCCCCTCCCACCTCCTGCTCCCTCTCTCTCGCTTGTCGAATGACTTCAAACCAATTGCTCTCGCTTGCTCATAAATATTCTCCAGAGCTCAATTGGCCTTTACTGTCAGGGGSCAGGGGAGTGGGAGCTGAGGATTTTGTTGGTGGGAGGGGAGATCTGGAGAAGTTGGGGGTAGACTGGGAAAAAAAATAAAATAAAATCACAGCTTTACCGCCCCCTACTGGTGGGTCACTGCATCAGAGCAGGCTGGGGACTTAAAAAAAACATATTATAAGACATCTATTTATTTTTCCATTTAGCACTTCTTTTCCTTTCTTGGTGGCAATGAGAAGATTCAAAAGCTTGGATATTCACGGCTGTCACAGCTGTGTACTCAGAAACACTGAAAAACGTGACATTTATTACAAGCCTTCTGAGCGAACCCTCCTTTTTTTCTTCTTCTCAAGGTTTGATTAAGTGCAATAACGGCAGCGATAGATGAATTCAGTGAATTCAGAGGCAATGAAATACAGGCACGGAGGCACTTAACGATATTACTTCCACTGTGATTGCAGAAAAATGCACCTGGATGTCAGTCATAATGGTAGTTTTAAAACATCTATTCATCCATTCTTCCCCTTTTTCTCCTAACGGAGTCTTAGAAACCTCACAACAGCTTCGTGGCTTTCGTTTTGCGCTAAAAGCAACTGGCTCCATGTGTCCTTGTCGAGCAGATGTGTTTTACTACATTTAAAACAGGCTCAGCTGAAACAATTAATAGTGGTATTTATTGCTCATTTTGTTCAAACGGGTAGCAAAAAGGGGTTGAAGCAGAACTACAGTACTTTATGGTGCCATCAGTTGCAGCTCGGACTGGGTGTAAAATGAATTTAAAAAGCATGTTTCGTTTAATAATTTAGGAGCTTGTTGTGCTGAGAAATCATCTCTGCCAAAGTGAGAAGTTCTCACTCCGTAATTTCTTTTGTCGTCGAGCCATATCGAGAGAAAGAAGCATATTAGTCAAAATGTCAGCACCTCCCCTCTTCTTCTTCATGGGCCATAACTTTCCCATCACGCCTCATCTCCCGTGTTTTCGCCTCTCTTTCTTTCACTGTCACCTCAGCGGCCGTAACGTTGACTCTGTTTGATGTGAGGAGACGTTGCTCATCATTATCGACTGATTAATGTTTCAATTACACGCAGGCATGTTTGTGGAGAGGCCGAGCCGCGGCGGCACGCTTTCACTGTACCTGTCGTTCAGCGTGGCCCATTGTGCTTTATCTGCTCCATGTTTATTACTTTGCTGTTCTGTTGTGAATGCTTTAGATGAGAAAGCACATTTAAAAGATATTATGAAACGGGACAGAATGAATGGGCACACAGCTGAAAAGCAATGAGGAGAGCAGACAAGAGAATGAAGAGAAGCGATTAGGGAATGTAATATTATAATGCACCGCAAACGCAACTCAATAAATCACTGGGAATATAAATGGAAAATAAATTTTTATGCTGTGTTTAAGAATGAAAAACTAAAGTTTAGAAGTCTCATATAAGACATATTCAACACAAAGTTTTCAACGGAAATGTGACACACAGTTTATGTTTCTGGAAGTTAGTGATGTTCGATCCTGCCAGCTTTCTTTCCGATACTGATACCAAGTAAAATTTAGCTGGTATCGGCGATACTGATCCGATACTGATACTTTGTGATAACACATATAATGTGTCCGGTAAATATTAAAAAGTACAGCTTTATAAATAATCACTTTATAAATAAAACATGACATAGTAAGTCATTTTTAAATTTAAAAGTCTTTCTAATCCTAACCTTATTTGTTTAGCACAATTTAATATTCTTGTCCCTAAGAAATATAATATTTTTTGAATAGTGAATAAAA